GTAGCATTTAGCACATTATGGTCATATATATCAACTTTTGTATATCAGCATTGCCATTACTGCATCTTTAAAGGTCCCATATTTTACGCCTTTCTGGAGTTTTATTTTAGGTTTTGATGTCCTTAAGAATATATATTTGCGGTATAAGTACCAAAAACCATCTCAATATATTTTTACAGCTCCTCTCTCAGGAGCTCTGCTGAGAACAGGTCGATTTTGGCCTGTCTAATTAATATTCATGAGCCTCTCTTCTGATTGGCCTGTTGTTTTCTGAGTGACGCATGGCCAGGCCAACCACAGGTAACTAGGGTCAGCCGACGTCACAGCGCTAGTTGGAGGCAGCAAAACAAAGGGGAAACTGGAGGCGGCCCATTCAAACCAGCGCATATTCGGCTACATAAGGAGCTTAAAATATAATTTTGTGATGTTGGGTGCCAGAAGCAATGTAATACAGCCTCAAATTAGAAATTTGATCGCATATCTGCTGCCACTGCCAGACAAAAAAAAACGACGACAGCTGTGGTTAAACGCGATAAAACGAGCAGACTGGACAGAAACGATCGTCAAAAATGCTCGCGTTTGCAGCGCACACTTCTTATCAGAAAAGGTTCAATAAAGTATTGTCTTTTGTTGTTATGGGAAATCTACAGATTTCTTGCCATATGTCTATGTTGCATCTCACGACTATGTCTTATATGAAATAATGTCTGTGTGCATTTGTGTAAAACAACAAACTGACGATTTATATATAATAATTTGTAATTGTATATACATTGTTGTGATTAACTGTGGCTGGAACAATAATGTAGCTGTAAAAATAGTTGCCTGCTGAAATTGAAATGTATATACACATCTTCATCATGACTAGATAGACACGGTGAGTTTGTCTTTACTATACACGTTAGATGTGATCACCTCATAGTAACAATCCTGTCAGATCGTCCATCCTTTGAGTGAGAGTGACTGTGACTGTGGTGACTGAAGGCGGTGACTGTGTAGTTCTGACGTCAACTTTTTACGGAAGTCACAACGGTTCGTGAAAAATCACAGCTACTTTATGCAGGCTGTGTGAATTTTACTGTGGACTGACTGTTTTGAAACTTATATGGTAGTTACATAGCACCTAGACCTCAGTTATCATGAAAAAAGCCAGGAAATTTCAGTTTTGACAATATGGGACCTTTAAGAAACCCAGATGAGGGATGATTTTCTGGGAAATGTCGACTTACTGTCTCACCAGGATCTCCATGGAGGCCAGAGGAGCCTTGTATACCTGGAGTGCCGGGGAGACCCTGAAAAAAAGACAAGCAAAACGTCAAATGCAACGTAACACAGAAAGAAACACTTGCGCAACTCTATGCTGACATTTTCCATAAAGGCATGTTTTCCTATGGAGTTTCTCCTTGTGTGAAAAGAGTGCGAAACAAGTTGATACTCACAGGGGAACCTGGTGGTCCTGGGGGTCCCTCTACTAGCATCCCCTGAAAAGAATTAAAAGGGAGAGAAAAAGAAAAACATTTCAGTTCTGTAGCATGCTGGGCAGGCCGTAAATCTCACAGTATGAGCAGCACAGAAATAAAAAGAAAATCAGTGAAGTACAAAGAGGAACCCAAAAGATGTGGTTCATTTAGTCCAACTGAACCAATCGCCTATTTCACTATTCAAGAAAAGTGAATAATGCAACTGCTGTCAAAATCAGATGAATAATACGATTACATTTGCATTACAAAGCATTAATGTAAGAATCTTTTTTCCTGGACTGCTACCATCTTCCCTTTGCCATACAACTGTACAAAGAGTAGTTAGGTGGGAGGAAGGACTACATTGGAATATTACAGACCCAAAATGTAGGATGCATTACATTGATCAAAAGTGATAGTAAAGACTTTTACATTCTTAAAAAAAGAAACAAAACAAAACAAAAAAAAGTTTCCATGGTTTCCACAAAATATTAAGCAACAGCTGTTTTCAGCATTTACAATGATAAGAAATTATTCTTGAGCACCAAATCAACATTTTAGAATTTGATTTCTCTCATGTGACAGTGAAGACTGGAGTGTTAAAATATATTAAAATAGAAAACAGTTATTTTAAATTGTAATAATATTTCACAATATTACTGTTTTTACTGTATTTTTGATCAAATCAATACAGCCTTGATGAGCATAAGAGACTTTCAAAAACATTTTAAAATCCTCTCAACTTTAAACTTATATATAATAGTTAGCGGCCTGGCACATTCTGAACTGATACATTATTGAGTGGAAAAAATATGATGCATAATTTATTAGTAGCTGCATTTCATTTGGTACTTATAAAAGCTTCATGCAGAGAGTTTACCTACCGGCTCAATGACTGCAGGTTCACCTTTTTGCCCCTTCTCACCGCCATAGCCACCACCTACCTACAACAGAGGCAAAACCAACTGAGATTTAATGACAGAGGAAGTACTACTCCTGTAGACCAAACAACTGTAAAACAGCACATTAAGCACTACAGCTAATGCATAAAATGGACTCTATAACTCTATAAAGCTAAGTGGTGAACATGCTCAGTGATTATTGTGAGGATGATTAAACATTAAGTGTGAACTCCATCTTTTCCTATAATGTCCACTTACAAGACCCACAGGGAAAGTCATTTGACAATATTTATACAGTCATTTAACACAAGGTGGGCGGTGCTCGGGGTGGTGACTGAAGGCGGTGACTGTGTCGTTCTGACGTCAACTTTTTACGGAAGTCACAACGGTTTGTGAAAAATCACAGCTACTTTATGCAGGCTGTGTGAATTTTACTGTGGACTGACTGTTTTGAAACTTATATGGTAGTTACATAGCACCTAGACCTCAGTTATCATGAAAAAAGCCAGGAAATTTCAGTTTTGACAATATGGGACCTTTAAGAAACCCAGATGAGGGATGATTTTCTGGGAAATGTCGACTTACTGTCTCACCAGGATCTCCATGGAGGCCAGAGGAGCCTTGTATACCTGGAGTGCCGGGGAGACCCTGAAAAAAAGACAAGCAAAACGTCAAATGCAACGTAACACAGAAAGAAACACTTGCGCAACTCTATGCTGACATTTTCCATAAAGGCATGTTTTCCTATGGAGTTTCTCCTTGTGTGAAAAGAGTGCGAAACAAGTTGATACTCACAGGGGAACCTGGTGGTCCTGGGGGTCCCTCTACTAGCATCCCCTGAAAAGAATTAAAAGGGAGAGAAAAAGAAAAACATTTCAGTTCTGTAGCATGCTGGGCAGGCCGTAAATCTCACAGTATGAGCAGCACAGAAATAAAAAGAAAATCAGTGAAGTACAAAGAGGAACCCAAAAGATGTGGTTCATTTAGTCCAACTGAACCAATCGCCTATTTCACTATTCAAGAAAAGTGAATAATGCAACTGCTGTCAAAATCAGATGAATAATACGATTACATTTGCATTACAAAGCATTAATGTAAGAATCTTTTTTCCTGGACTGCTACCATCTTCCCTTTGCCATACAACTGTACAAAGAGTAGTTAGGTGGGAGGAAGGACTACATTGGAATATTACAGACCCAAAATGTAGGATGCATTACATTGATCAAAAGTGATAGTAAAGACTTTTACATTCTTAAAAAAAGAAACAAAACAAAACAAAAAAAAGTTTCCATGGTTTCCACAAAATATTAAGCAACAGCTGTTTTCAGCATTTACAATGATAAGAAATTATTCTTGAGCACCAAATCAACATTTTAGAATTTGATTTCTCTCATGTGACAGTGAAGACTGGAGTGTTAAAATATATTAAAATAGAAAACAGTTATTTTAAATTGTAATAATATTTCACAATATTACTGTTTTTACTGTATTTTTGATCAAATCAATACAGCCTTGATGAGCATAAGAGACTTTCAAAAACATTTTAAAATCCTCTCAACTTTAAACTTATATATAATAGTTAGCGGCCTGGCACATTCTGAACTGATACATTATTGAGTGGAAAAAATATGATGCATAATTTATTAGTAGCTGCATTTCATTTGGTACTTATAAAAGCTTCATGCAGAGAGTTTACCTACCGGCTCAATGACTGCAGGTTCACCTTTTTGCCCCTTCTCACCGCCATAGCCACCACCTACCTACAACAGAGGCAAAACCAACTGAGATTTAATGACAGAGGAAGTACTACTCCTGTAGACCAAACAACTGTAAAACAGCACATTAAGCACTACAGCTAATGCATAAAATGGACTCTATAACTCTATAAAGCTAAGTGGTGAACATGCTCAGTGATTATTGTGAGGATGATTAAACATTAAGTGTGAACTCCATCTTTTCCTATAATGTCCACTTACAAGACCCACAGGGAAAGTCATTTGACAATATTTATACAGTCATTTAACACAAGTATTAAATTCAGCCCATTGATGTGTGCATGTGTTGTTTGTGTTTGTGAACCAGGATGATCTATCTTTTCAGGAATGAAGAAAAGGAGCACAATGCCACCGTGGTCAGTATGTGCTTATGTGTAAATGTCTGTGTCAACGAGTACTTGTGTTGAACTGTGAAAATAAGTCTCAAGTTATCACAGATCAACATTGCAATCACACAGCTAACCTTTCATTTCCTGTCTCCCACACACCACAAGCAAAACGGCTACAATTGAGAGACTTTCATGTGCTGCTGTGTCAGCAGACATACTGAAACGTAGTAAGGTAAATATACATTATTCCTAGTAATTATGAGCATTAGAATTACAGTTATGTGGTTGCAATTAAAAAAAAAAAAACATCCTTGACATTCTCTTGCTACACAATTGACTTGATTCCAACATAAATATGGAGAAGTCTACTCACATTACTCTCCGTGATCTGTGTTTCAGCAGGTCGGCCCGGTCCAAACTCGCTGTCGTAGGTCGATCCAGTGGGTTTAGCTCCATTAGTATTATAGTCATAGAGCGAATCGTCATAAATGCTGGGGTCTAATTCTTTTGCATCATATTCATTAATGTCGTATTCCTTAAAGTACTGGTTTTCTGCACCATTCGTGTTTTTGGACTCCACAATATCCACATTCTCACTGGTGGCAATGGTGGGATCCACTCCAACTTCTTCTATCCCTGTAATGTAGTCGTCTACTATTTCTTCTTTTGGCGATGGATTCTGCCCAGCCCGGGGAGGTAGGAGGTCAGCGAATGAAAGAAACAGGGAGCTTAGTCAATGCAGACACCTAATCAAACTAATGAACTAATTTAATGAAGCTCTACAGGTGAAATTACAATTGCACTAGCAAAGCATCATTTTCAAAGCATCATCAAATGGGATCAGTTTAGAAATGACAGTGTGTACTTCTATCTATCTATCTATTTATCTCTCTCTCTCTCTCTCTCTCTCTCTCTATATATATATATATATACACAGAGTTCTGGCTTGCAACTCTAGATGCTGCAGTCTG